CAGATTACTGTAGTGTGATAAATAGTAATCGACTGCTTCCATTCCATCACAGTGTTTTATGTTAGTATATAATGAAGCAACATCTGCCGTCACAAGGAATGTGTCTGTTGATATTGTAATATCTTTAGTTAGATTGAGTACCTGTTTGGTGTCTTTGATGTAAGCAGGTGTTTGTACTACCAGTGGTTGCAGGAAATGATCGATATATTCACCCACCTTCGAACATAGGGATCCAATACCACTTATTATTGGGCGTCCCGGAGGTTTGGTGGGATTTTGTGGATTTTTGGAAGTATATATAGAATGGGCAATTTCGGTGCAATTGGAATAAGAAATGCTTTCTCCTTTTTATTTAGAATCCCACATTCATGGCCATAGTTGACAATATTCTTCAATATGCGTTTATAGCCAGGGAGTGGGTCACCAAGTAGTGGGGAGTATGTAGTATGGTCACTCAAAATGTTCACAACTTCTAAGATGTAATCTGACTTATTCAGGACTACGACCCCTCCCCCTTTATCAGCAGGTCTAATAACTAAGTCCTTCTTTTCGAGTAGTGATCTCATGGCTTTAATATCTCCTGTCCTATTGTGTGATTGTTTGACAGTTAACTGTCCCAATTCTTTCAGAACCTTATCTCTGAAAATATTAACGTAGGAGTGGGTCTGTGGAGGAGGGTTGTATGTAGAGGCATTCCGTAAATTGGAATGCACATAAGGGTCTACCTGCGTATTGCTGGTGACTGGTTTATTAGCAAAAAATCTTTTTAGTGATAATTGCCTTGTGAATTTGTGTATATCCATATACACCTTAAACTTATCAAGTTTATTGGCAGGAGCATATTTCAGACCCTTGTCTAACAATCGTAATTCGTCGTCATTAAGGTCAGTATTACTCAGGTTAAATAACCCTTTACCGACTAAATCCTCCTTTTTTTGCTTATGTCCGTGTATTCTTCTCCCTCCACGTCTACCTCTTCTGAATCCTTCCTTTTTCTTACTTTGCCCTCCCCTAAAAAAGGCTGTCTAGGATGGTTATTCCCGTTATTCCCATTATTGGGATGGGTAGTACGCCTAGGGGGGGTTTGTGGTGCCCTTTGTGCATGTGGATGGTTAGGACGCATCGGAGTAGATCTGTAAGGCCTATTGTTGTTTTGATTGGAATGGCCTTTATATTGGTGTGGGGACGCATAGTATGAATGGTCACTTCTCCATGTTTGGGGGCCATCAGAGTAATGAGGGCGATTATTATAATATTGCCTTGGAGAGGAATAGTAAATGTCATTCCTTCTTTCTCCTCTCGGGGCATTCCACTGTTGGGATCCATTCCTATAGGGGGGATTCATATGAACTGGTACATTCCTATTAGGGTGCCAAAAAGGATCTCTGAACCCTATATTCTCATCATGTAAATGTTGTATAGGTTCAAAACGAACCATTAAAATAACGTCTTGGCTGCAGGGAACCCCTACTAATAATTATTATATTTACAGCTCACAGTACATTAGTGTGATGGTGAGTAGAAAGAATTCTCCTTACATTTGCAGTCATTGGGAAGACTTCTTCCTTACAGATAGCTGAAAAGATCATTGGTGTCAGTGGTTACCCATCTTAGAGGAAGAAATTGCTTATTGCTGAAGGAACTCCTAGCAACCTCTGAGGGAACCCTGGCAAACTAACACTGTATACCCTCCCCAACCTCTGGTCCCCATTGTAGTTACCTCCATTAACCACTTGCTTACCTGGCACTTTTACCCCCTTCCTGCCCAGACCAATTTTCAGCTTTCAGAGCTCTCATACTTTGAATGACAATTGTTTGGTCATGCAACACTGTACACAACCTAAATTTTTATAATTTTTTTTAGATAAACAGAGCTTTCTTTTGGTGGTATTTTTCACCACTGAGGTTTTTATTTTTTGCCAAACAAACCAAAAAAGACCAAAAATTTAGAAAAAAGTTTTCTTAGTTTCTGTTACAACGTATTGTAAATAAGCAATTTTTCTCCTGCACTGATAGGCACTGATAGGTTGCACTGATAGGCACTGATAGGCAGCACTGGTAGGTGGCACTGATGGGCAGCACTGATAGGCACTGTTAGGCGGCACTGATGGGCATTGATAGGCAGCACTGATGAGCAATTAGGCGGCACTGATGGACATTGAAGGGTGGCACTGATGGGCAGCACTGGTGGGCGGCACTGATAGGCGGCACTGATTCAACTGATGGGCACTGATTGCTAGCACTGATTTCCAGCACAGATGGGCACTGTTAGGTGGTACTGATGGGTGGCACTTATGGGTACTATTAGGTGGCACTGAAGGGAAGCATTGATGGACACTGTTAGGCGGCACTGATGGGCACTGATAGGCTATACTAATGGGCACTGTTAGGCGGCACTGATGGGCACTGATAGGCGGCACTGATGTGCATTGATAGGAAGCACTGATGGGTAGTTAGGCAGCACTGAAGGGCATTGATGGGCACTGTTAGGTGGCACTGATGGGCAGCACTGATAGGCGGCACTGATTCAACTGATGGGCACTGATTGCCAGCACAGATGGGCACTATTGGCCGCACTGATGAGGCTACACTGATCACCAGGACACTGATGATCAGTGCCCTAATGATCAGTGTAGATGTCCCCCTGCAAAATGCAGCTTACTGGCTCTCCTCTCCTCACGCGCTGTCAGTGTGAGGAGAGGACTGCCGATAACCAGCATTTCCTTTTTACCCGGTGATCAGCTGTGATTGGACACAGCTGGTCACTTGATAAAAAGCGGCTGTGATTGGACCATTCCTTAGTCATGTGATCAGCTGTGGCTTAAGGACACAGCGATCACTGATTGCACGCATTGCGTGCCCCAGGGGGTGCATGGGTGGTGCAGCTCTAGCTGACCGCGCTGTAGCCGTCTTTTGGCTATAGCGCGGTTGGAACTGGTTAATAATTAAGTGACAGCAAAGCTTAGTTTTCTTTAAAAACAATAACAAACCTGTGTATACTTACCTGCTCTGTGCAGCGGTGTTGCACAGAGCAGCCCTGATCCTCTTCTTTTCAGGTCCCCGCCGGTGCTCCTGGGTCCTTCCCCTCGAGCAGTGCCCCCTGGGAAAGCCACTTGCCCTGGGGGCAACACTGCATGCTCATCCCTGAGCAGCTGCTCTATGCGTCCATAAGACACATAGAGCCATGGCTTGGCCCTGCCCCTCTCCCCCAGGTGTCTCCTCATTGGCTCAGTTTCTGTGATTAACATTTGCTGTCTCAGCAAATGAGGAGGAAGAGTCTTCAGACAGCAGAGGCTGTCAAGAACATTGCTGGATTGGAGAAGGCTCAGGTAAGGATTGGGGGGGGGGGGAGACTTGGGGGGCTACTACACACAGAACGTTTTGTTACCTTCATGCATAGAATACATAAAGGTAAAAAAACTTTTAGAACCACTTTAGCTTTCATTGCCCATACAACTGGTGCAAGGATCTGGGATTTGAAAGTTGTTTTCCTTAGGAAAGTTGGGATGGATCAGAGCAATTCTGAATGTTCAAAGCCGCTTTCAAATCCTCAGTCCCTGCACAGGCTGTGTGGGAAATGAAAGCTAGCATCCATGGCAGGTAAGTGCAGCAGGATGCAGGGAAAAGTGAGGTGGGTATACAGTATTAATTCCCCTTTTCATTTTTTGAGAAAGAAATGAGCTTACACGTTAAATGTGTTTAGGCAGCTACAGATAAAGTTTATTCCTATTGGGATGTAGTGCACTCAGTTCATAATTCTAGTCCCAACAGTAAAGTCCAGCCTGGGAGGCCTCCAGGGCAAGCAGCCTGTTATAAATTCTGTGTATAACCCTACAGAACAGAAAATGCACAGTCCACATGTGCTTTTCTGCTTCACTGCAATAAGGAAACAGGAAACTTTATCTAGAGAAAAGACATAGAGCATACCATAGATGTATTTACAAACTTATAAACACTGCCATCTACTGGTTGAAGGATCTATCTCCACGGAATACTGATGTAGTTGTCACATAAAATACATGAACTTTGTTTTCCAACACAGCCACCTGGAGCTCATAGTTCCAATAATAGACACAGGGAAAGGACTATCTCCTCTGGGCTTCTGACTATTTAAGAGTAACCCATCCACCACTTGGGCACACCTCCCCTGGGATTGGGTCCCCTACTAAATATTCAGGCTGGGTATTTGAATCCTTCTGCCCTAATCTCCAGAATCTCTAGAGTCAGGTGTAGGTAATCAAGCTCCCAGCCTGTGTAGTCTTGAGCAGACCAAACTAATGCAGGCCATACATGGGTCGAATTCCGAATGAATTTTCTTTATAAAATTGGAAATTTCGTGCATCTTGTAATCCGATGGTGCCACCTTTGATTTAGAACTTCAACCAAGCCTTCAATTTCATCTCATGTTGCTACAGAAAAGAATTTTCATGGCCAAGAATTTTCTTTTCTTTCCAGGTCACAGCTTATGCTCATTTCTTTTTCGTTTATATTTCTTGCACAAATTTATTTGTTTTTCAGAAAATTTCTGACATACTCGATCACTCAAATTTAAGAGTCACACAAAACCCAGCCATTTCTGTGACCCACTAATGGTGTGAAATTCGAACGAAAAATTCTTAGAAAACATTTTCGAAAAAAAAATGATTTCAGAATTTGACCCATGCATTGCCGGCTTTACAATACTGGCTCCTGTAGTTACAGCAGAAGCCCAAGCTAAGTTTTTCTAACAGGGATAAATGTTTAACATACATGAATAAAAGCTGACCATTGTATGCACCCTTGATAGTGTTAAATGGTTTGTCACAATCAGGGGCGGACTCACAACTCACGGGGCCCCCGGGCAATAGGGGATCATAGGGCCCCTGTGTCCTTGCCCAAACTCAAAAAAGCCTATGAAAAAGGTACCAGAGGCATCTCATGGGGCCCCCTACTGACCCGGGCCCTCGGGCAGTGCCCGAGTTTCCAAATGGTCAGTCCGCCCCTGGTCACAATCTTCTAACTACTGATTTGTCTGGACAGCTTGGTCTGTTAAAAGTTGAAAGTTAAGGTTACAGTTGAAACATAACAGACTTACAGACTGGAGCACCCTGTGAAAATAAAGAGAAAAAGTCTTAAAAAAAAATGAATGTAGCCACCACATGGTAAACTGTAATAAACTCACCACTGGTAAACTGTAATATAATAAGTTTTTGCGTTTTGGGCGTAATAACGCTTTAAGCAAGTGTTCTGTGTGAGATACTCATTTTGAATTTCTAAATAGAAAAGTACTTCTGTCTGAATCATGTACTTCGGTCTTAATGATGTTTTGTGAATAATACCCAGCCAGTGCAGTAGGGTGTTACAGGGATAAAGGTTTAACATACATGAATAAAATTTGACCATTGTATGCACCCCTGACAGTGTTAAATGGTTTGTCACAACCTTCTAACTGCTGATTTGTCTGGACAGCTTGGTCTGTTAAAGGTTGAAAGTTAAGGTTAAAGTTGAAACATAACAGACTTACTTACTGGAACACCCTGTGAAAATAAAAACTCTAAAAAAAAAACTAATGTAGCCACCACATCTAAAAACTGGAAAACTTTAATATAATACGTTTTTGTGTTTGGGCGTAATACCGTTTTAAGCAAGCGTTCTGTGTGAGATACTCATTTTGAATTTCTGAATACAAAAGTACTTCTGTCTGAATTATGTACTTGGGTCTTAATGATATTTTGTGAATAACACTCAGAGGAAGGGCTAGCCTTTTTAAGCTGTACAAGCCATGCCTAATGATAAACATTCATCTCTAATATATAACACAGCAGTCAATAGGCATTGCTGTGACCAGTGCACTGACTGTCAGACTACACGTCTTGCCATTGTTTGGAAGCAGCTGGTGTGTTTTGCAGTGAGATGAAAGTGAAAGAAAGGCTTCAAGATTGCAGATGCCAGTTCTTCATCTGGTCACATTTTTTTTAATAAGATCTCCGCTGCTACACGAGCCTATCACCGATGAGAAGGAGGGAGGAGTAACTTGCTCTGTTCCTAAGCTAACTGCAGCTGATCTTTTTTTTTCGCAATGTGCAGATACATAACGGAGTAGACAGAGATGACTGGCAGTTTCCTGAGTCTAGGAAAAAGCAACATTGCACAGCAATCAGGCATTCATTTCCATCAAAAGTCCAGAAGCAGACATTTCTTCTCCTTGTAGTGACTACTATTCCCAGGAGTGACAATAATGCAATGATGAAGTTTTAAAGATTAAAGTTTGGGAAATATTTTTTTTTGTAATCACCAGGAACGGTACTCATAATGAATAAAAAAGTGCCCTTTGTGCTGGTGGCTGCCATGTCATTGAAATCTTGAGTCCTCTGCCCCCCTGGATATCTCAGTAGCTGTGATCTCCCACTGCTGAAAGGGTTAATATGAGCCTTTGGACAGGGGTTGCCACCTCATCCCTTTAAAACCGAACACATGTTAATTACACAGGTTCTCTGGCTGAATAAAGTGGTAATTAAACTCACCTAGTACCTTATTTGCATTAAATTAGCCTCAGAACCTGCATAATTAATGTGTTTGGTTTTAAAGGGATGAGGTGGCAACCCTACTTTGGACCTGTCACAGGCACTCATCAAAAGTACCAGCTATGACAACCCTGTCTGTCCCCCTCCTCCATTCATAAAACCTGTACTATTGCTTCCTGCATTGAAAGTCACTCTGTGAATGGAGGACCTTTCATTCATCTGCCCATCCTTATTGATAGAGCTCTTTTCATTATGGGAAGCGATAGTACAGACAGGTTTAATAAAAGGACGAGGGGCAGAAAGGGGGGGGGGGGCTTTGTCGGCAGTTTTGAAGTGTGCCTGTGACAGGTTCAGATGCTCGTATTAACCCCGCACAACATTGGAAGATCACAGCTGCGGGGGTATTGAGGGGGGCAAGAGACTGAAAATTTCAACAAACATGGTCCACACCTGCACAAGGAACACTTTTCATTCATTGTAAGTACTGCCCTTGGTGCTGATTTAAAAAACAGTACCCACTATGACAGCCCCTTCTGTCCCCCTCCTCCATTCATAAAATCTGTACTATTGCTTCCAGGGGTATTGGGGGGGGGGCAGAAGACTGAAGATTTCAACAAACATGGCCCACACCTGCACAAGGGATACTTTTCATTCATTGTTAGTACTGCCTTTAGTGCTTATTTAAAAAAGTACCAGCTATGACAGCCCTTTTTGTCCCCCTCCTACAATAATAAAATTAGTACTTTTGCTTCCTGCAATGAAAAGCACTTGATGAATGGAGGAGGCGGACCTTTCATTCATCTGCCCATCCCTATCGATAGAGCTCTTTTTATTGCAGGACGCAATAGTACAGACAGCTTTAATAAAAGAAGGAGGGGAAGGGGGGTTTTGTCAGCAGTTTTGAAGAGTGCCTGTGATAGGTTCAGACGCTCGTATTAACCCCTGCAGCATTGGAAGATCACAGCTGAGGGGGTATTGAGGGGGCAAGAGACTGAAGATTTCAACAAACATGGCCAACACCAGCACAAGGAACACTTTTCATTCATTGTAAATACTACCCTTAGTGCTGATTTTAAAAAAATATTTGTAGCACCCTCCTAAGCAGGTGCTAGGATAAGATAGCTCGGGATAGTCATGCTTTTTATAGGCAGATTTAGTTGTTTCACTGTAGTCAGAGTGGCTGTAAATGTTGTTAGGAAAAGGTTTGTTAGCTTACTGTACTTGGTGAGCTGTGATCATTCAGTGAGGTCTGCTCTGTATGCTCAGGTGCTGCTAGTCTGCCTAGCTTCCTCTGTATCCAGGAGACTGCAGAAGTTTCTGGATGATCGGTGTGGAGTTATGCAGATGGCAGCATGAATATTGATACAGCCTCAGCCTATCCCAGAGTGAGGGGCCCCAAGGCATGCTAGGTGACTGTATATATTCTGTGAGCACATGGGGGCTCTGGGTCTTTCCTGGTGAGATTGCCAAGCCTGAATGGGGGCCTGAATTGCTGAGACTTGGGTTCTGCTACGCTTACTGAGGGGCTGTCTCCTGGAGATCTGGTTTGGTATCAAGGAGCAGGGTATCCAAATGTTCTTGGGCCTTGTGAGTACAGACATCCTTAAAGCAGAGTTCCAGTCTCCTCTGCACTTTTCTACAAAAAGCACTTGCATTGTTCTCTTCAGTTGCAGTATATAATTAGGACAATGTTCTAAGTGTATGTCGTTTGCTTACTTGTAAATGTGACAATTCCTCAGCAGGATCCTGGTAGGCATGCAGTGGCCATTACTAGTGTGGGCATCTGAAGCCAGCTCCTACTTTCTTCTGGATTTGGTGAAGCTGGCTACCCAGCATGCACCTCCTGATCTTGCGCTTGCGCTGTAAGGACACCGCACGGCACACTGTGTTGTTTGTAGGTTGCCATAACAATGGTGACAGCGACAGAAGATCCCGCCCCATTGTTATGGCAAACTGTCAATCATCCCTCTTGATATCGTCACTTCCGGTCAAGAAATGCAGTGAGACGTCACCATTAGGCTTCCTAAAGACACCTGGGAAAACCAATGGCGATATCCCAAGAGTCCTAGGGAATCGCCTAATGACGAAATTATCCTGTCGGACTGGAAGTGCAGGATACTGGCAGCAAAAAAGGTATTTAGAAATAAATAAAAATATCCCATAACAGACTGTTCTGTGGGTGGGCATTGTGTGGCAAGGATCATGAAAAAAAGGGTGGAACTCCGCTTTAAGGATCTTAGAGACTTTTTGCTGTTTAACCCCCTATGGTGCTAGGAAGTCAGCTGCGGGTTTTTGCAAAGGGAATACCGGTTTTTCCGAAGAGCTTTGTCCATCTGCCCACTACTGCTTAAAAGGGACACTGCTCTGGAGCTCTAAAGAAGTTACTATTTGTTGCTGCTGCTTAAAGCTGAAGTGCACTGGTTGATTCAAGAATGGACTCGGATATACTGTAGCTTGTTCTGAAGATTAGACAAAGTCCTCAGTGTGCATAGTTCCTAATCTGAAGTACCCTATTCATCTCCCTCATCCCTATCCCCATTCTTCAAGAATAAAGACAACGGGGTCATCACCCCCCCTAGACTGATCATTGGAGAGGAGAGTAAATGAGCCTATATGCCTGGCTGCGGGGCAAAGTAACTGGGAAGGACCTGGAAGGACCTGGAAGGACCTGAGCAGGAGGCAAAAAAACAGCAGTACTCTGATCCTCCCATTAAAGAATTGCAGGGGGGAGGAACGTGTCAGCACATGTCTGGCCACTGTAGTACAGACAGGCTGTGATCCCAAGTAGAATGCAAAGAATAAAACCGAGCACACTGAGTTGGCTGTGCTTCTTTGCCTAGCATGGTCAGTTAGAGGTAGGAAAGCAGGGGGACTGGCATGATCATCAGCTATTTCATTGGAAGCAGTGCAAAGAGAACAGGATACTTTACTAATACACAGACATACTGTATATCAGAAACCTGAAAAGTTGGGGTAACATACAATTTAAGTTTTAAAGGGTAACTTCACTTTTGTGGGGAAAAAAAAAAAAGCAAATAAAAAAAATAATATAGTGTATACAATTGCGACACAAGTCATATTGTAATTGAATGTTATTTAAAATTACCTTTCCTTTTAAATCCAAAATGCTGTAATTTTCTGTAAAATTTAATATGGCAGCCTGGATGCATTCTCTACATAGTTGGTGTACAGAATATTCCCCCAGAAATGTAATTTCCTGCTTGTGTAATTGGCTCACAAGTTTCCCAGAAGTCTGCACTAGGATACAAATCAGAATTTGGGCATCCCCTGTAAAAAATATACTTTTTTTGGTGAGATACTCTCAAAAGGAAATCATTACTAAATGGCCCTGCAACTTTCCTCATTAGAGCCCTGCAAGTGCAGTGGCCGATTGATTACTATGAAATCACTCCCATTCTCATTCACCATGCACATGGACACAGACAAAAAACAGCTATTTCTTCAGAATAACAAAAGATAGAAATCTGCAAAAATGTTTCTTACAATCCCTGCAGTGTACATTGATCACCCAGAGGGGGAAGTTTTTTTTTTCAACA